GAAATCCCTGCTACTCCCATGTTCCCATGAACTATTTGTTATGTTCTATTTCAATGTGGACTACGTCACCTGACACAAACAACAACAAATCATATTTTGATAAATACTTACCAAAGGAGGGAGTATCATGTAGAAATTCCTGAGATGCATATTCTTTGGATTACGAAACTCGGAAGAAAATACATCAACCAACATCTGAGAAAATAAAACAACAAGTCAGCATTATTATGAGTCAGATCAGAAATTAAGTATTGTAGTCATCACATGTATATCTAATTCACCTTGTCTATTGTATGCAAATATTTCACAATTTTTATAAATATATTTACATATTTATTATGCATACCTTGAAATATTCAGTACCCTCTGCAAAGTTCTTGGCAAGGTTATTAATAACAGCATCTACATTACTGAGAAATCAAATTAAAGTAATATTAGTCCCACAACAAATGTCTAGATGTGAGAGAAATGAAAAGTGCTATGTGACAGTGTTATGTATATCCAACAACTATGATTCAATTGAACAAAAGTTTGTTGAAAATACAATGTGCCAAGTTTGATCAAAATCTGCCCTAAAAAGTTTCCAAGCAAATGCTCAAGAAAGATAGGAAAAACTGGTTTTGCCCAGGTAATCAGAATGTGTACTAAAATGGCTGTATCAGCAGAAAACTCATTGGTACCTGATGAAAAAAACCCCATAATTTTATTTTATTTCCTACTAGTTATCAATAAGGATTGTTGAGAAATAAGATATTATTCCTGTTCAATCACAATAAAGCGAAACCTTTAAAGAGTATTAAAAGCAAGGTACCCAGGTTTCTCACTAAATTTGTACATTTTGAGAAACATCCCTTTCAATTCCAAGCATTATGTATTCAAATGCACCTGATTCAAGTTATAGGGATAAAAACAAAATATTTTTCAGTGGTTAACACTGGTGTAAAGTACCAAACTTGTACTTAGTGAGCATTTTTAGAAGCACCACCTGGTATTACAATGAACCATATCAAGATAACAAAAGAGCTGTTACAAAATACTGAACCATATCAAGATAACAAAAGAGCTGTTACAAAATACTGAACTGAATCACTACTCACTGAGCTGCAGCTTTAACTTCTACAGACATATTTTCTTCTGTAACCAGTTCTTCAAAGTTCACAATATCTTCCAAATCAGGAACAAATCTGAAGAAAAAAATCAGTTATATTGTTATTATAATATACACATTATTCTAGCAGGTGTGTACATTGATAAAGTATCATAAACTAAACAGTGTAAGCGTATACGTTATTTCAGCATACCCCGGTAATACCGATTGTTCCAACATTATTAGGTCAAAATTACTACTGGTAGTTAATGGTAAGCGGGCAGTTTGTATGTCAGGATAAAGTAGCTGTTACTCTCTGTTAACTATCCATTGAATTACATATACCATGAAGCATTATGTCAGTGACAATATAACTACAAGTAATCACTGAGCTGAGAAAAGTATAGAGCTTGTTTTGATGTCATGCTTGTAGTATTATTACCTGATGGCATTACTGCAGCAGTGAAGTCCACCAGATCTTATCATACGGATATATCCCATGGCATTACCTGAAAACATTTCAAGCCAATTATTCAGTCATTTGAGAATGTTGGGACGTATGACCTCATATATTATGACAGTATGACATGATGGCACTTGTTAACAGAGCTGAGTGATAAATGTGATGTCATGGGCTAGTAATATTCAGTAATCGGTTAAAACACTGATTAAATATGTTCATCAGATCTAGTGTACAATGTCTTCGATAAAACACTGTGTGAAAAGTGCAAGAGTGCTGTTATGACTCCATGCAGACGCTGGTAAGCACATAATCCCCTGCCAGGAAATAATAATAAAGTTAGCACAATAATACCAAAAAGTATGCACTCAGGCAATACAGGGTAGACTAATATATGCAAGAGCGCTGTACAGTCTTTGTGCATATTTTGCAATATTCTCTGATAACAGAGCATGATATGCATCTACAATGTGACAGGAATGCAACGCCAGCCAGCACACAAGACAAATAGAATGACTCACCAATTTGACTAATAAGTGTCCTGAATTGGTCCAGATAACTCTGACCGTCCGGTGTCAGTCCCAGTTTTCGTATTCCTCGGTTAAACTTATCAGCTCTCTCAAATGGGTACATCTCATTAGTTTGTTCGTGGTTCTCTCGGAAGTATCGCAGATCCTAACAATTGTATACAATATATATTAAACAGCGTCTAGATTTCAGAATTTTATTTGCACTTCAAAAAATGGTACATATAATTTATATAGGCTGATCCATTTAATAATCATTGGTATATGAACATGTATGGATTAGTTTGGTGGCAAAACAAAAACAGTCATTGTTGATAATTTTTACAAAACTTGTTTTCCCTGCCAAACCATTTCGTCTATACTTTAATATACCATAAAATGGAATGGCGGCTATCAGCCCACAAAAATAATAAAATTAACAACTTTTCTTAAACATCAATGAATTTTTCCAGATGTTGCTATTAGTTAATAACATTTAAAGTGACTCTATTGTTCAACGTTGAAACAGTTGTTCAGGTTTGAAAATCGTACATGTCAAGTTTATCTTTAGTTAACATGACAGACAATATAAACACTGCATCGTTTTGTCGAATACACTGCAAGTGAGACATTCCTATCAGCCACAGTCAGTCATTCATGCCAAATCAGGTCAACAGAGAGCACACTCCAAGACCACTTCAGTATTAAACAACTTATTTTTTATGCCATAAACTTGGGATTAGTATAAAGGACATGTTATCTTGGAAACCGGTTAAATTTATTAAAAGAATTTCATAATAAGTACTCTTACCCAAGGCATTCACCAGAGGTGTATTTCGAACAATTGGGTGTACTTTATAATAATTCTAGAGCTACAATTTGTTCCGAGACCCCCCCCCCCCAGACTTTTTATTATGATTGTTCAACTATAAATATCACACATACTTCTCAGCCTCGCTTTTAAAAATCCTATTATTAGAAAAATAAGGCTGCCCACTGCTTTGACATCTCTCTATTATTGCTTACACAATAACTAACCTTAATCAATCTTGACTTGATATGTTCATCATACATGAACTGAGAAAATATAAAGAACTTCTTACGTAGGAACTGATAAGTGAAATTTACTGTAGTATTCATAATACCAGTGCCATGTGTACGTATAGAGTTTGCAATATGGCGGATGTTTATTGTATTTAAATGTTTGTTGTTACTTGATCTCTCAACAAAAATCTGAAAGATAGAAAAAAACTTTATTAGGAGCGAAATATGTAAAGCAATTGTCATCCAATGTCATGTATATGGGCCTGGCTTTCAAAACCTATGCCTGAATGAGCAACAATGATTAATAATTATTAGTAAACTTAATTGTACGGAATATATAATTACTGCAAGGCAGAAGTATTAGATGCTTAGCTTTGAAGACAGCATTTGATTATCATATCCACTGGTTCAAGACATCCTGTTATTGGCTGGTTCTCGCCACAAGTGTCATGGCACACCAAGCCGGGGTACAGTCACTTCGCCCGAAATCCACTTCGCCCGAACTCCTTCGCCCGATTACCAGTTTGCCCAATTACCGGTTCGCCCAATTACCGGTTCGCCCGTTTTCCTTTTCGCCCGATTTACCGATGTTACACACTAGGCCTACTGGGGGTTTAACATTTTGCTAAAGCAGTTTTAATTTATTCGCCATAACTATTTTCAAATATTTTGTCTGGAAGTTTGTTCTAGGTTGAGTTTTATTTTTTTTCAGACATTT